TGCTGCCACCGACCCTGACCCTGCCTGGCTTGGCCTTGGCGCTGATGGACGCACCTGCGACAAGGACTCTCAGCTGGTCACCACTGCCATTCCTGGGCCTGCCCTGCGTCTGCTTCAGGTACGGTGGGATGGGGTCCTGGCTGGTGAGGTGCTGCCCAGCCCTGCCCCATGGTACTGCGCCCGGCCCCTGCCGCTCCATGGCGGCTGCTCCAGAGGGGCTGCCTGCGCCCAGCCCAGCCCTGGGAGGAGGGAGGGCACGGCCACAGCACCGTTGGCTGCGCGCACAGGAGATGGTCAGGTAGCACAGCATGTGGTCTGGGCAGTTGGTGAAGCCCCCAGCTGTCGCACTGTTGCCAGTGTGGCACCAGAGCTAGGTCTGGTTTTGTTCGTGGGCGTTGTTCAGCTGGCCATGAGGAGTGCATGTTTGCACAGATGTGTGCTTGGTTAAGAGTCAGACCCATGCCCAGTAGGTGCTAGGTGCTGCCTAGCTGTCACAGCCAACTGTCTATATGGGAAAGAATCTGGGACATTGGATAAATAGCTATGTGTATCTTTTGTATCTATATACAGATGTGTATGTACATATATACACACACATGTGTCAGCGAGCACCTAAATCGAATCCACCTACTCTCTAGTAGTAGCAAAGCCTCATTCCTGTGCTGCTTTGCTTTGCACAGTGCAGCTTCCAACAAATCCCAAAGCAAAGGCAGGAGCCATAGCCCACTGCCTTGCAGTTGGCCTTGTGGTTACTCCAGATCACTACACACCCAGCAAAGAGGCTTGCCAAGTCCGTAGGGATTCAAAACATGGCTGCTGCAGGGAATGGCATTTCCCTTGTGTCATCCTCTGAGGGAACGTAGTTAGCTGATCTGCTCCTCCAGGTAAAACTGCTCCTGCCAGCAGTGCTGGTGCAGGCAGCTGATGGTGCTGCTCCCACAGTATATGGCCAAACACCGCTGTCCTCTGAGAGGCACTCAGGACACCACCCCTTTTTTGAGGGCTGGTACAGGCCACCTGCTCAGGGCAGCGATGCGGATGTGCGTGTTTGCTTGTAGGTGGTACGCGCCACAGCCTGTACTCCATTGTCCTGGGGTGTGTGTGTTGTTTCACACCTCCCTGGTGTTACATTAAAGTTCAGTTATTAAGTGTGACGTTTGATCTCTTTTGCAGGTACCTGACTGTTGCCTTCAACAGCTCACTAACAACTTCCATGAGACAAGCATCCTGAGCTCCAGGGCCTCGCACTGCTGGGCTGGGATGAGACTGCTTGGCTCCCTTGAGAGCTCTGTGCTCTGCTGAGGGATGCCAGAGAGGACATCAAAAGCTGGGTGATCTGCTCACAGCTGGGAGATAAGGTAAAGAGGGTGGTGGGAATCATCAGAGTAAGGCTGGCTCAGGGAGTGCAGGTGACCGTACTGTGGGTGGAGTGTTTCCTGGAGGTGCTCTTGGGTGTTCCGAGTTCTCAGTCCTTAAACTCTGCAGACTGAAGGAGAGCAGCCCTGGGCATGGGCCTGTGGGGTTTGGTTCCTGCACAGAGAATTGCTCTGAGCTGTGCCCATGGCCCCTCTTGTTTGCCTCTGTACCTTCAGCTTCTGAAGCCATGCTCCTGTTCTCTCCCTCCCTTCCTTGCCTCCCTCCCTCTCCCCCTTCCCTCCCTCTCTGTCCTAAGGGGGTGCTGCTCCCCTACAGCATCTTCCCTTACCACAACTCCACCCCAACAGACACAGACACCTCCAGTTGTTTAGTCCCTTTATTGTCACCCCACAGGGCACAGCTACATCCTCTGCACGGGCTTAATTCCCAGGATGTCGAATCCTTTGGCCATGATGGTGGCAGTGGCTTCACACAGCAGCAGCCTCCACATGTTCACCTTCACGATCTGGCCTGCAAAACACCAACAGAAGAGCTGGAGCAACTGCTCAGAACAATTAACACTGCCTTTACCCAAGGGAACCTCATCCGCTCACAACCTGGCCCTGGGGCTGGGCACACTGAGCCCCCTCCTGCTCTCCCCAAGCCAGGCAGACTGACCAGCCCTCGTGTTTCCAGATGCCTGGTTGCTCGCAACTCTCTACTCAACCCCCCTGCTTCACAGGCAGATGATGACGCAGGCTGTGCCAGCCACCTTTTGGCCTCCCATATGGCCAACACTTGATCTGCAGCAGCAAGTAGCATGACAACGGCCTTCCCAGCACAAGGAAAGACCCCGTGGATTGCCTGTACTCTGGTATGTGACACAGGCACACGCAGCACCCCATGGTGCACTCACCACTCTGCCTGTCCTTCTCAACGCAGTAGCAGTTGTCGTAGAACTCGGTGAAGGTGGTGGCCAGCTCATAAAGGTAGTCACAGAGCGTGTGCAACAACAAGTCCTCCAGGATCTTCTGCAGGATCTCAGGGAACCTCAGGATGCACTTGCCCAGTTTCCACTCCTTCTCATGGTCAAGGATGAGCACCTCCTCACTGGCTGCCTTCCGCAGCATCTGCTCATCAATATTGGCCAGGCGAGCAATAGCCCTGCAATGGTCCA